TGTGTATAAGAGACAGGGCACAGGCTGCCCAGAGAAGCTGTGGCTGCCCCCTCCCTGGAAGGGCTCAAGGCCAGGTTGGACGGGGCTTTGGGCAACCTGGGCTGGTGGAAGGTGGCCCTGCCCGGGGCAGGGGGGTGGCACTGGAGGGGCTTTAAGGTGCTGCTGCGGGTCCCTCGTTGCCTGGGGGTGCTGCCGGCTCCCCGCTGCAGCTTGCAGCTAAGCCAGGCTGCTCGGGCTCAGAGCCCCGTCCCCAGGACCCCGAGTCCCTACGCCGGGCTGGAGCAGAGCACAGCACCCTCCAACACCTCTACAGTCACTCTGTGTCCCCCCCCCGGTGCCATCAGACCGGCTGTGCCAATGTATTTTTGGAAGCCGTAAGCAAACCAGGACCAAAACCCAGACCTGGAAAAAGGCTGGTGAGATCTGGGGGCAGGGGGAGAAGGGCAAGTGCTCCTCACCCAGGGGCATCTCCAGCCGCGGTGCCACCCTGAGGACACACATCACCTCTTCCAGCAGGAGGGAAGATCTCCAGGGGTGCAAACGCACGGTTGAGGTCTTCTCCCACCACCGTGCCACGTTTAGTCCGTGGCAGGTGCCTCCCACCCGCTCCCCGGCCAAGACTTCTCCTTGGGACACCGACCAAGGACACCCCAGAAGTCCAGGACAAGGGAAGACAACAGACTCCAGATCTGCAGAGCGTGGGCTCTGACCGCCAAGCTGTCTTTCCTCCGGAGAGGGCCAAAAGCATCATCAAAGCTGCTCTGTTCAGGCCTGGCCAAACATCTGCAAACGTTGCCCCAGTGAAACTGAAGCTGCAGCAAATAAAGACAATTATTGTAGAGTATTCCCAAGGTTTTATCCTGATACAAAATACCCGACCAAGCAGGCCGATTACTTCTTTTGCATTAAAAGCAAACAAAAAATACTAGTCGTGTAATCCAAAAAAGTTAATATTTAATCCGATTTCAGGTAATTTCTAGCAGAGTTGCGCTTTTGTACCTTTACAGCCTTCTCTGTTTCTACGCCATGCAATAATTTTGGACAGTCCTGGGTTTGATTCAGGAGCAGGTGAGTCTCACCCTGCTGGTTTCTACCGGAAAACAGAAATGCGTGAGGGGGAAAAGGGATTTACCTTTATAAAAAGAGTATAAAAACTCTGCACAAGCTGCGACTAACTCCTAGTACAAATGCAATTAAAGTCGTACGCCTCATCTATCATCCTATTTCCTAAAAGTTGTTCAACAATGCAGCTGAGGCCCCTCCAGTGCTCCCCAGACAAGGCCAGCGCGGGGTGAAGCCCCTTCACGAGGGGCTGGCAGATGTGACATGGGAACTACGAGAGATCCACACCCCCCGGGTCCTTAGGAGCCTGTGTTTAAGTACTAAATCTAACCCATAACGTCGCTAAAATTCCCACTCACACGACAGTCGACACAGAAAAGCAATGAACCAATTGGTTAAAAGCAATAAAGGGTAAAAGCCAAAAGAAAATAGATATCCTGATGAAAAGAAAGCAAAGGAAGACTCTTCTTGCAGGTCTTTTTGGTCAGTCCAGCTGTCACAGGGATTTCGGCGAAGCCTGAATTTCTTGGCATTCCTTCTGGAAAGCTGCAAGGAGAAGAGCAAAAGGAAACAGATTTAGCTGTTGGCCTTTTTTTTTTTTTTTTTTTTGTAGAAGGGGAAGAAAATGATGAAGTATTCAGTAGAAGTGAATGGGAACATGCAAGTATGCTCAGCAGTCATCGACCCCAGGCGTTTATTTCGGAATATATGGTGGGGAAAGACACACAGCACCCCAAGTCTGTCCCCGAGCCCTCTCCCACCCACCACGCTCATCCAAGAGAGGAGCAGTTGGGTGATTCCTGGCAGCACCCCAGCCAGTTGGTCTCTCAGATGAAAGGTGAGGCTGAGCACGTTGGAAAAGTCCTTCTCCAGCACCTTGGTGATATGATCCTGCTATTGCAGAGGGTGACAGTGGCAGACATCCAATGACAGAGCCATTAAGCTCCAGGAACTCCCAGTTTTCACTGTTATCTGCTGTGACTGCCAAGCTTGCGATGCTAGCGGTGGCAGCTTTGGCCCGGGCATACCCAAAAAACCTTTGGGGGAAGCACCAAAGCTGATCTTCGGTACCCAAAATGGATGAGAAGTTCATTAGTTGAGTCTACGTCCCACCTAGGTGTCCATCGTCTCCAGTCAAGCCATCAGGCCGGCCCTTTGGACAGCATAAAGGAACTTCACTCAGATAATCTGTGATGAGTCGTGGCGTGTCACAGCCTGAATCCATCAGATTTCAGCCCACAAGAATCATGAAATCATCGACTGGTTTGGGTGGAAGGGACCTTAAAGCCCCTCCAGTGCCACCCCCCTGCCCCGGGCAGGGCCACCTTCCACCAGCCCAGGTTGCCCAAAGCCCCGTCCAACCTGGCCTTGAGCCCTTCCAGGGAGGGGGCAGCCACAGCTTCTCTGGGCAGCCTGTGCCAGGGCCTCACCCCCCTGTGAATGGTCGGAATGGCCAGAGATGAGGTTGAAGAGCTCATGTGAAATCAGAAATCAGGAAAGGAAGGGACTAAGCTGGAATATCGCTCCCTAGAAAACCGTAATTTTGCTTGCTAAGTAAGACCCCAAAGCTGGTTTTGGGACAACCAGAGAATTGAATCCAAACAAAAATCAGCTGAAGCTGATCAAGAACTCATTTTCGCCTCAAAATTTCCAAAGACCATCACATTTATAACACTGCAGAACAACCTACATCTCTCACAATCGCTCTGTCACCTTAGTAGCCACATCCCACACCGTCCATAAAATTTCACCCAAGAATTAAGAGCACTCTGCAGTGGCCACCAGTCCAGCCATGAATTTATCTATCACACTTTCTGGCTTGACAACAGCAGGTTTTGAAGCGTCACTCACCATCAGATCCTGGACCTGGCTCTTCATCTTCTCCTTTGTTTTTTTCAAACATCTCCCTCCGTACCTCCACCTCAATGTCGTGTTCCAGAAGGGTTTTATCTGCTCGCACGTCTCCTTCCCGTTTATCTAAGCTGCCCATCTTGGAATGATGGGAAACATCAATGTGCCATTGTTGATGCTAAAGCCATGCTGTCCAGGAACTATTTTCACCTCCAAATCCCCCTCTTCCCAACCTACTTCCTCCAACATAAAAAAAAAAAAAATCCTTTATTCAACAGCAAAACCTTCAAGTCTCCTCCTTCCAGTTCCCCTCCAGCTTTCCCCAGTAACCCTTGACAAGGTCTCCGCTCCCCAACCCCACTGGGTGCTCTTTCCACCCCGAGGATGAAGAGCCTCCAGTTGACCCACAAGAGAAGCGTGATGGGTTTATGCGGTTGGTTGGTCAAGGGATGGGACAACGGTATCAACAAATGAGGGATTCATGCAGTAGGGTTTAGTACTCAAACGTTTTCTCTGGAAATAAGACTGTGAGCCACTTTGGCTGCAAAGGCATAAATTTGCACATCCTCCTCCACCCAGAGAAACTAAAGGCTTCTGCATCTGTGCTCCATGCAAGAGCTGGGAAGAGATGTCCCAGGGCCAGACGCAGAATTAGATGAAGAACCAGTTCTACCTTCGTAACACAGCGATAAGGTGCTTTGTGTGGACAACACAAAGGGATACTCTTCTTTTTTCAAAAGAATTTTCTCCTTCAAGGGCTTTCACGATGATGTTTGTCTGCAGGAAAAGACGCTGAATGTTCACCAGCGTCACTCCAAAGCCTCATTCGCCAGCAGAATCCGAACAAACCCAAGGCCGGGAGCAGGCGGAGCACACCGGATGGTTAAGCAGAATCGAGAAGGTAAATTTGAGGGATATTGGGCAGCACCTGAGCTGCTAAAGACGTTCGCCGGAGCAGGGGTCTCTGGCCAGTGGGGATTCAGGATGCTCCCTCCCGCCACAAACTGTTCATCAACAAGAAACTGTTCGTAAAGAAGATGTCTCAAACAACTCAAGTGGGATGCCCTGCCGGAGGGGAAGCAGAGCGAGCTCCGCAGCGGTGGGGTGATGGGGTGTTTCTCTCCCCCTCCCTCCTGTTGTTGCCCAGAGACAGAACTTGCCTCACTGCGCAGGTCCAAGCCAGAGAAAACGAGAACCTTCTGGAACAACCTATTGCTCAGGCATAAGAAATATAAAGGCAACACCCCACGTGTGTCTTTGTCCACCCACCGCCTACAGCCCCAGCTGGCTGCTCTGCGACAGTGCGAGATCCAAGGGTGGTGATTTCCCTTCTCCTATCCCCCCCTCCTCTCTTTCCTCTTTTTGCTCTCTCTCTTTCTTACATATATTCATGTCTATAACTTTTGTAGGAATCGAATTGCGATGAGTTGATGGTTGACAAGTTATTAGGAAAATAGTCTCATTGCCAAAGTGCCTTTATTCGTTCCCAGACTGTTATCAGCTGATTGTTGCCAAATCGTCTCCATTCATTCATTCATTCAAGTGGTCAGTTAATAAAGTCACCAGCACAATTGTTCCTCTGAGTCACTGTGGTGACTCGATCCGCCCTGCTGCTCTGCGGAGCAGCGACCGCAGAGACCGGCTCTTCCACCAGGAATTCAAGAAATTCACCCCCCTCGTAACCCACCGCGTGGGACGAGGCACGTCCCCACCCTGGCGAGGCTGGTGGTGTCCCCACGGCCAGCGGGCAGCGGGGACACCTGTGCCCGTGTGTGATTTTTTCAGTTCCAGGCACCCATAATACCAACAACCCCATCTCCAAGCTGACTCGACCAGTGTTTTAACAGCACGGCCTCCAGGGCACGTATCACACTAGACTTTAAGACTGAGTCTGTATCCTGGGCTGGACATGCCCAGCCACCCTGCGGGCAGCTCCCTGTGGTGCAAGGTCTCATTCTTAGCTCTCAAGCTTAGGACCAAACCCATCATGCTCTGGCCATCTGTGGTTCTATTTAGTTGCTGTTCCTTTCT